AGTGCAATCCCAATTACAATACCTCACAGATCTAGAGAAAACATTCCTAAAATTCATCTGGAACCAGAAAAGACCCAGAAAAGCAAAAGCAATCCTGGGCAACAAAGCAAAGGCAGGAGACATAACAATCCCTGACTTGAAATTATACTACAAAGCTGCTGTGATAGAATATGCATGGCACTGGAAAAAAAACAGACCTGGAGATTGATGGAACAGATTAGAAGATGCAGACACAACTACAAACACACTCAGCCACCTTATCATTGACAAAGGGGCCAAACATGTTCACTGGAAGGAAAATGATTCTTCCTTTAATAAATTGTGCTGGGGGGTGGGGATGTAGCCCAGCAGTGTAAGTGCTTGCCTGACAAGCCTGAGGTCATGAGTTCAATTCCTGGTACCAAAAATAAATAAATAAATAAATAAATAAATAAATAAATAAATAAATTGTGCTGGAAAAACTGGCTTTCCACATGCCAAAAACTAGACCCATGTCTATCACCATGCATTAAAGTAAAAAAGGATCAAAGCTCTCAATATTAAAACAGTACCACTAAATCTACTGGAAGAGAAAGTAGATTAAAATCTTGAAGACATAGGGGTAGGCAGAGAGCTCATGAACAAAAACCAAACTGCATGGGAAATACTTCAAAGGATCAACAACTGAGATCTCATCTTATTGAAAAGTTTTTGCACATCAAAAGAAATCACAAACAGGGTAAAAAGAAAACCCATGAATTGGGAAAATATTTTAGCCAACTGTCTCTCAGACAAAGGACTTCTATCTAGAACATATAAAGAATTTTTTAAAAAAATCAGGCCCCCAAAATTCAAAGTCCCAATCCAAAAATGGTCATCTGAGATGAACACATACTTCTCAGATTTAAAAAAAATACAAATGGCAAATCAACATATGCAAAAATGTTCAACATCATTGGTCATTTGAGAAGTTCAAATTAAAACAATACTGAGATTCCATCTCACCCCAGAAAGAATGGCTATCATCCAGAAATCAACCAATAACAAATGCTGGAGGGGCTATG